GTAAGATTCCTACTGACTGATTGTGTCTGCCAATGACAGGTGAGAGTCCTACTGACTGATTGTGTATGCCAATGACAGGTGAGAGTCACACTGACTGATTGTGTCTGCCAATGACAGTCGAGAGTCCTACTGACTGATTGTGTCTGCCAGTTGCAGGTAAGAGTCCTACTGACTGATTGTGTCTGCCAATGACAGGTGAGAGTCTTAGTGAATGATTGTGACTGCCAATGACAGATGAGAGTCCTAATGAATGATTGTGACTGCCAATGACAGATGAGAGTCCTAATGAATGATTGTGTCTGCCAATAACAGGTAAGAGTCCTACTGACTGATTGTGTCTGCCAATGACAGGTCAGATTCCTACTGACTGATTGTGTCTGCCAATGACAGGTCAGAGTCCTACTGACTGATTGTGTCTGCGAATGGCAGGGTAGAGTCATACTGACTGATTGTGTCTGCCGAAGACAGGTGAGAGTCCTCCTGACTGATTGTTTCTTCCAATGACAGGTGAGAGTCATACTGACTGATTGTGTCTGCCAAAGACAGGTGAGTGTCCTACTGATTGATTGTGTCTGCCAATGGCAGGGGAGAGTACTACTGACTGATTGTGTCTGCCAGTGACAGTTGAGTGTCCTACTGACTGTTTGTGTCTGCCAATGACTGATGATAGTCCTACTGACTGATTGCCTTTACCGGCTATCAACACTGGTGGAAACTCCCAGTTCTTTACCAATTTCTAGTTTTTTACGTTTTTTAAGGACACTATTTTGGCTGTACAGCCGTTTTACAGATCTGGTCTAATTTTATTTTACTGTTGGTTTCTTGTTTCTCGGACAGATGCACTCCGCCTTTGAATTAATATCCTAATCAGTTGACTCCTACGACATGTTTGTTGTTGTGGCAGTGGGTCTGTTCTTGTTTCGCTTACAATAGGGCCTATAAATCAACACTAGGGGGCGGGGGGGGAAACCAATGCATCTTCGGGGGTGGGGGGGGGTGGGCATCTTCGGCGAAAGTTGTTCCCAGATATTGATACTGACACGCCTGTTTATTCTTTTGAAGCTCTGCTACTATACTTCAGCTCTGCTTCGTTCTTCTGTTTGCCATTTATTCTGTATTTTGTTTCTGTTCCCTTGCGCGAACTCGTATGTTGTTTACTCCTGTGTGAGATGTTGTTAGTAATTCCACAGGTGGTCTGCGAGTTTTTGTGTGTTTTTTTTTTTTTGTGGCTAGACGAAGCATGTTTAAATGAATAACGAATGTAATTTTGTATAATTTAATGAGTTCTGGTGGCGATATAGGTTCTGAATTACACATGCAGGTAAATTTAAATGAACATCTAGAAATCATTGTAGACACGCCAAGATTGTTTTCTAAAGGTGTAGGACTGTTGGTGTTTAACTACCACCTGCAAATAATCAGCGAATTTGTCCAGGACAAGGTCACATGTTCGTTCTCTTTCTGACATGACTGCTGTATTCCTAAAGTTTATTCTATTTCAGTCTCTCAGCTGAGGACGGGAGTCACTGATGCCACCTGGGTAGTGTACTCATCATTAACTCACATGCAGATAAGTGCAGGCGTTCGTGGATCCCCCAGTTGTGCTTTAGCCCCGCCTATAGCTGGGTCCAAGCCATCAAAGTTTTTTTTTTTAATCTCCACGTCTTTTTTCTGTTGACAGTTGTCGCCGTCTTCAAGCTACAACCCCCCCCCCCCATCCCCCCCACCCCCCCCATCTCCCCCCTTCCACTCAAAACTTCTTTCTAAAGTAGCTTTCTTGTTTACCTGGACGACGATCTTCTACACCGGTCCCATCGTTTAACTTTTAGAATACGATTGGCACCTGGTATCGAGGTTAACATTGACATTGCGTCATGTGCGCTTTCCCAGTAACATCCATTCTCAGCGTATTCCTGATTAAAGGCCTTTGATGACATGCTTGTAGACAGGCAGTGGATCTATTAATTTTGTCATCCTAACTGGAGCCACGGAACCCATATATGGAGCCAGAGATTTAAAAACACGAGCTTAGTGCCGTGGTTATGGGTGCTAACCAGTGTTACACCCAAGTCAAAACAATGGGCCTTTGCCTAAGATGTTTCTCTCCTGTAAGTAAGACTACTGTAGAACAATCTAGGCTTCCCACAGCCACTTAAGCTCAGTCAGCTGTGCCTATGGGAACATGTATGATAGATATAGTTCGTATGTCTACCAACATAGCCAGTGGTGCAACACAGCGTGAGCGATCAAGTCATACGAAATTAAGATTGTTTATCAAACAAACACAACATCAGTATAAGTACGTTGATAATTTCATGTAAACAATAATATAAACACTACAGTATGAGTTGCCATGACGTTCATTGCGTACTTCCAAGTCTCATCTAACCAAGTTTCAATTTCAGTCATACAGTCACCTGCTATGTTCATAAACTACAGTCCTTGCTTTGCGACCGCCCGGCTAAGACACCTGGTTCTAACTTTCACTGTCACTTTCCCACTCACCACTTCTTTTCTTTTTGTCGCTTTACTTCTCCAAGCCCAGAGAATTGCTTACATTCCTGACACCCGTCCACCAGTTCATTCTCATCGTCCTAGATTCTCTGTCAGCTGTGCCATTTCATCTGACCGAATGATTAATATGCCCCCCTCGTCTGTATCTCGCAAGGCGTTGTCCGCCCAGCTTTTCTCGTTTTCTCATTTCCACTGCAAGTGTCTGTGATCTGGCCTCGCTGTCATCCGTCACCTTTTGATTCTCATCTTCTTCAACGACCTCTTTTTGTTAGAATGATTCATCTCTCGGAGTATCCTGTCATGTCTTAGTGTAACTCCATATCTCCTTCTCTCACTGTATACACCCCTCAGTGTCAGATGTCGTGTTTCCCTTTGTTAATTTATCAGGAATAATGGTACATGTTCAACACTCCTGTTCACTGTTGTTCAACCCTCCTGTTCACTGTTTTCAACCCTCCTGTTCACTGTTGTTCAACACTCCTGTTCACTGTTGTTCAACCCTCCTATTCACTGTTGTTTAACCCTCCTGTTCACTGTTGTTCAACACTCCTGTTCACTGTTGTTCAACCCTCCTGTTCATTGTTGTTCAACCCTCCTATTCACTGTTGTTTAACCCTCCTGTTCACTGTTGTTCAACACGCCTGTTCACTGTTGTTCAACCCTCCTATTCACTGTTGTTCAACCCTCCTGTTCACTGTTGTTCAACCCTCCTGTTCATTGTTGTTCAACCCTCCTATTCACTGTTGTTCAACCCTCCTGTTCACTGTTGTTCAACCCTCCTCTCCTATTCACTGTTGTTTCAATCCTCTTTTTCACTGTTTGTTTCAACCCCTCCTGTTTACTGTTGTTCAACCCTCCTGTTCACTGTTGTTCAACCCTCCTGTTCACTGTTGTTTAACCCTCCTATTCACTGTTGTTCAACCCTCCTGTTAAACTGTTGTTCAACCCTCCTGTTCAAAGTTGTTCAACGCTCCTGTTCACTGTTGTTCAACCCTCCTGTTCACTGTTGTTCAACCCTCCTGTTCACTATTGTTCAACCCTCCTGTTCACTGTTGTTCAACCCTCCTGTTCACTGTTGTTCAACCCTCCTGTTCACTGTTGTTCAACCCTCCTGTTCACTGTTTTTCAACCCTCCTGTTCACTGTTGTTCAACCCTCCTGTTCACTGTTGTTCAACCCTCCTGTTCACTGTTGTTCAACCCTCCTGTTCAAAGTTGTTCAACCCTCCTATTCACTATTGTCAAGTCTGGTCTAAACACTTGTTTTTTTTTTTATCCCATTGCTCCTTGCAATTGAAATTAGGGCACTCTCGCACATCTGTAAACTTGGCTCTGACTAAGTATCACATAGTCAGTTTGATTGACAACATTCTCTTTCGTGGCTTGTCAATTGTATAATTGTGGAGTATGTTGTTGGACATATCATCCTTATTAAGTGTCTTTTCAAGTGAATAATCGTGGAGTATTGTGTATGACATATCACCCTGTTCAAGTGCCCTTTGAAGTGAATAATAGTGTCGTATGTTGTTTGATACATACAGCCACATTATTCAGGTTTGCCAGACATGATATTGTCTTTGGACATCTTTCACTCGATGTTCAGACACTTCATAATTTTAGTCTCAACTTTATCTTGATCCGTATGTTCTCAAAATGTGTCAGTAACGTTTATCTCCAAATACCTCGATTCTCTTCTTTCGTTCTGGAAACGTTGCTGCGGGTCATATTGATGTTATTAAATATTGACTTTACATTAATGTGTGTGCTGGTAGTGTTTCAGATGCTGTTATTTATGTTCGTGAACAGGATTCGCTGTAAGTTTCGCAAGAAATGTAAACAAAAAAAAAAAAAATTTATTTAAATTTGTGCAACCTCTAAATTAAATTACCAGAACATCTCTGGGAACATTGAACTCAGTTTTAGACCAGGTACAACATACTGGATTATGACTGATGATTGCAATAGCAAGGAGAGAACAATACATAACACAAGACATAAGACAAGAGACATATAGAGAATTAATTATAATTAAATATGCTTTCGTCACGCCCGCAAACTGACAGAGAGATAGAGAGAGAGAGAGAGAGAGAGAGAGAGAGAGAGAGAGAGAGAGAGAGAGAGAGAGAGAAAAGACACAGACGGACGGACATACAGACGGACAAAAAAACATCTGTGACGGACGGAGGGATGGATGGATAGATGGATGGAAGGTTTGATTGATGGATGGAAATACAGACAGACATACAGAACGACAGACAGACATATATATATATATAGACAGACAGTCAGACACTTAGATATTGCATTATACAGTGAAACTACTTCACTTTTTCTAGATGGTATCGAGAGTTTTCGCAGATCAGTCTGGAGCGAACATCAATCGTCGACCTGTGGGAAGTCAAGGTCGGGTTGGATGGAGTAGTAATCCACATCCAACAACTTCCGTTAAGGAGTGACCTTAGTCAAGATGAATGTGACTTCACCCAAGATGAACACGAACGACTGTGCTCCCAGAGATGGGACTAACTTGACCAGAAGTGGCCCTGATCCATGGAGAGTGGTAATCTCTGTTTCATTTTCATCACTTGTGGTTTTTATTATTGCGGCCAACATCACGACCATCGTGTCCATGTTGCGATCAATGTACATTAGGAAAACGACACAGCGGACCAGCAGAGATAAGGTCCTGATTGTGTCCATGTCTGTAGGGGATTTGTTTCTTGGAGCCTTTCCAACATCTCTTGTTGTATACGAGGCGACGTCTGGCGGCATTTGGTTGCTGGGAACTACCGTTTGCGCTATCAGGTATTTGTCTGACCTCTGCCTGTGCACTGTTTCCATATATCACGTGATGTTTATGGCCGTAGACAGGTATCTAGCCGTCTGCAAGCCACTCCTACATCGGACCTTGCCCAAAAAGACCGAGTACATCATGGTGTTAATTAGCTGGATTGTGCCTACTGCTCTAGTGTTTCTGCCAATCCTAGGACATTCATACGGGTTCGGAGGACAGTATACGGCAGAATGTCCCCATACCAGCAGCGCGTGTTTTGTGCAGTTCAATCGTGTTTATTTAATAATATTTATTATTACGTCTATCATTTTACCTCTAGTTATCGTTCTCATTATCTACTGTTTCATCTTACGAGCCATTGGAAAATTTTTCAAGAGAAAAGCACATCTTGGAGCACACACACAACCACGAACATGGAAGCAAAGTGAGATCATAAAGCTGACCACACAACATGGCTCAAACTGCGCGCGGGATGCCGGAGGACAGTCAGCGGATTCAGCGAATCAAAAACACGGTGTGACTGCTTCATGTCAAAAAACATCACTAGGGCGGGAATGTTCTACCCAACGGTGTCCTCTAGGACAATCGAGCAGGTATGTTTGGCAACTTGTCTACATTTCCCAACAAAATGCAGAATAAGACTACGAAAGCGATCAGTTATGTTAGACAGACATACTACTGGCTGTCAACTAAGCACCGAATCACGTTGCACATTAGATGATGGCAAAGGGGATAACAGACTGCGCAGATACAGGTTTCTCCTCTTGTGTTTCATCTAGTCCCTTTCAGTTATCATCGATATCCTCATCATTATCATCGTCCTCATCATCGTCTTTATCGATGTCATCATCATCCTATACCTCACCTGGAAGTAATACTAACGTTTTAAAAGGACACGCAGAGCACACAGAATATCGAGAAGCCAACGACCAGGTGGTCACTTCTAGGAAGACTGGCCAACCAACCAAGCAAAATCTCAAAGCTGTGAAAACGATAGGGGTTATTGTCGTCTGCTTCGTGGTATGTTGGTTTCCCACGGCCGTCCAGCTGACCCTGGACGCTGCCTCCATCTCTTCCTGTCCCAAGTGGCTGAAGCAGGTCTTTACTTGGCTGGCCTACTTAAACTCGGGCTTGAACTCTGCACTTTACTGCGCCAACACAAGCATGAGACAGCGCATGCGTCATTTCTTCTGTGAAACCACTTGTTTGAAACCTGCTAACTGAGACATGTACCAAACACACAAAGAGGTTCGGACATGTGTCAAGCAAATGTGAGGTTGCACATGTTTCAACATATGTGAGCTTCGGACATGTATGCAACCGATGTCAGGTTCGGACATGTGTGAAACATATGTTAGGCTTAGACATGTGTCAAACATATGTATGGTTCGGACATGTGTCAAACATATGTGTGGTTCGGACATGTGTGAGACAAATGTGAGGTTAGGATATGTATCAAACATAAAGGATGTTCTATACTGAGTCAGTAGTGTAGGACCAAGTCAGAGTACAGATTATAACTCTACAATGTGTATCACTGTAAGCGTTCAATACTGAGAGAATTGACATTGTTGATGGTGACTGGAGGTCGGCCGCATGCGACATCAGCACATATTGTTTTTTTGTGTGGCAGAGAGGCAGAAATCTGGTAATCTGGTAATCTGGTAATCCTAGTTTCAGCTTCATAGCAAACGGGTCACCCCACATATGCTCCGCTCCTGTGCCAACGAAAAACAAACGCAGCTCACAGTGTCACGCCATGCACTCAACTCAGAAGCTGGGCGACGAAAGACAGGCAGAAAGCAGATAGGAAAGAGAGAGAGAGAGAGAGAGAGAGAGAGAGAGTGAGAGAGAGAGAGAGACAATATGGGAGAGAGAATTACAAGAAAAAGTAACAGCCAGATAGCTTAACGAATATGTTTTTATCCAATAGTTTTTATGGAATAGGTTTTATCCAATAGTTTTCATCCTGTAGTTTTTAATCGAGCAGTTTTTTTTTAATGAAACGATTTGTATGCAAACGTTTTTTTCCCCTTATAGTTTATATATATATATATATAGCATTTATAGATTTTTAATTCGTACCCAACATTTTTTAATCCAGTAAGTTGTATCCTGTAGTTTTTATCCAACATGTGTAGGTGAAGTGGGATATCCAAGGAACGCTGTAGATTAGAAGAGACCTAACAGTTAATCCCCTCTTGGTGTGTGGCCCTCTATTACCTGTGGTTCAGTCAACCAGGACCCACGCCACAATGAATGCTGGCTGTCATTGATCTCCAACACTCCTCGTTTTCTGGCCTTGGTTTGCTACCTCGCCTGCAGAACCTGAACACACCAGCAGTAGAAACCTGAACACACCTGCAGTAGAAAACTGAACACACCTGCAGTAGAAAACTGAACACACCTACAGTAGAAAACTGAACATACCTGCAGTAGAAAACTGAACACACCTACAGTAGAAAACTGAACATACCTGCAGTAGAAAACTGAACACACCTGTAGTAGAAAACTGAACACACCTACAGTAGAAAACTGAACACACCAACAGTAGAAAACTGAACACACCTGTAGTAGAAAACTGAACACACCTACAGTAGAAAACTGAACACACCTGCAGTAGAAAACTGAACACACCTGCAGTAGAAAACTGAACACACCTGCAGTAGAAAACTGAACACACCTGCAGTAGAAAACTGAACACACCTGCAGTAGAAAACTGAACACACCTGCAGTAGAAAACTGAACACACCTGCAGTAGAAAACTGAACACACCTGCAGTAGAAAACTGAACACACCTACAGTAGAAAACTGAACATACCTACAGTAGAAAACTGAACACACCTACAGTAGAAAACTGAACACACCTGCAGTAGAAAACTGAATGCAACTTCGTTGGTAAAGATGGGTGTTTGAAAGGGCCGAATGTAAAACGGGCCTGGGCCCCTAAATTGTGACCCTTTGAACATAAAGTTTGTTCGTTCGTACTTCTTTTTACGTTCACTTCAAAGGAAAGTTCTGGCTGTTTGTCCACTGGTGGATTCTAGTCTTGTTATAGAGTTCGAGTGTAGCTTGCACATCTATTTTATAGATATGGTGTCCCTCCAATTAAATGCGTCACAAATATCCAGCGTAACCTTTCTCGCTGTACCGAGGCTGCAGGTGTTCCAGGCAATGAATGTGCAGATTATCTGGCAGACAAGGCGGTTGCCACGACCAGACCCGCAATGGATAGGAGTGGTATCATTTCATGCCATGTCAGTTATACATGGCCAAGACAATAACTGCAACAAACAGTACTGGGTATCATTGTCCAGACTGGTAGACATGTGTATCCTTGTCTAGACTGGTAGACATGTGTATCCTTGTCTAGACTGGTGGACATGTGTATCCTTGTCCAGACTGTTAGACATGTGTATCCTTGTCCAGACTGGTGGACATGTTTATCATTGTCCAGGCTGGTAGACATATGTATCATTGTTCAGACCGGTGGACATGTGTATCCTTATCCAGACTGGTGGACATGTTTATCCTTGTCCAGACTGGTGGACATGTGTATCCTTGTCTAGACTGGTGGACATGGGTATCGTTGTCCAGTTTGTTGGACATGGGTATCAATGTCTAGACTGGTGGACATGTGTATCCTTGTCTAGACTGGTGGACATGAGTATCATTTTACAGACTGGTAGACATGAGTTTCATTGTCCAGACTGGTAAACATGGGTATCATTGTCCAGACTGGTAGACATGGGTATCATTGTAGAGACTGGTAGACATGTGTATCATTGTACAGACTGGTAGACATGGGTATCCTTGTCCAGGCTGGTAGACATGAGTATCATTGTCCAGGCTGGTAGACATGAGTATCATTGTCCAGGCTGGTAGACATGGGTATCATTGTCCAGGCTGGTAGACATGGGTATCATTGTCCAGGCTGGTAGACATGGGTATCATTGTCCAGGCTGGTAGACATGGGTATCATTGTCCAGGCTGGTAGACATGGGTATCATTGTCCAGGCTGGTAGACATGGGTATCCTTGTCCAGGCTGGTGGACATGGGTATCATTGTCCAGGCTGGTAGACATGGGTATCATTGTCCAGGCTGGTAGACATGGGTATCATTGTCCAGGCTGGTAGACATGGGTATCATTGTCCAGACTGGTAGACATGGGTATCCTTGTCCAGGCTGGTGGACATGAGTATCCTTGTCCAGGCTGGTGGACATGGGTATCCTTGTCCAGGCTGGTAGACATGAGTATCATTGTCCAGACTGGTAGACATGAGTATCATTGTCCAGACTGGTAGACATGAGTATCATTGTCCAGGCTGGTAGACATGAGTATCATTGTCCAGACTGGTAGACATTAGTATCCTTGTCCAAGTTGGCGGACATGGGTATCCTTGTCCAGGTTGGTAGACATGAGTATCCTTGTCTAGGCTGGTAGACATGGGTATCATTGTCCAGGCTGGTAGACATGGGTATCATTGTCCAGACTGGTAAACATGGGTATCATTGTCCAGACTGGTAAACATGGGTATCATTGTCCAGACTGGTAGACATGGGTATCATTGTCCAGACTAGTAGACATGGGTATCATTGTCCAGGCTGGTAGACATGGGTATCATTGTCCAGGCTGGTAGACAAGAGAATCATTGTCCAGACTGGTAAACATGGGTATCTTAGTCCAAGCTGGTAGACATGGGTATCATTGTCCAGACTGGTAAACATGGGTATCATTGTCAAGGCTGGTAGACATGGTATCATTGTCCAGACTGGTGGACGTGTGTATCCTTGTCCTGGCTGGTAGACATGGGTATCATTGTCCAGGCTGGTAGACATGGGTATCATAGTCCAGGCTGGTATACATGGGTATCATTGTCCAGGCTGGTAGACATGGGTATCATTGTCCACACTGGTAGACATGGGTATCCTTGTCCAGAATGGTAGACATGGGTATCATTGTCCACACTGGTAGACATGAGTATCCTTGTCCAGGCTGGTAGACATGGGTATCATTGTCCAGGCTGGTAGACATGGGTATCAGTGTCCAGGCTGGTAGACATGAGTATCCTTGTCCAGGCTGGAAGACATGTGTATCATTGTCCAGGCTGGTAGACATGGGTATCATTGTCCAGGCTGGTAGACGTGTGTATCATTGTCCAGGCTGGTGGACATGGGTATCCTTGTCCAGTCTAGTTGATATGAGTATCCTTGTCCAATCTAGTGGACATATGTATCCTTGTCCAGGCTGGTGGACATGAGTATCATTGTCCAGTCTAGTGGATGAGTATCCTTGTCCAGACTGGCAGACATGTGTATCCTTGTCCAGGCTAGTGGACATGAGTATCATTGTCCAGTCTAGTGGATGAGTATCCTTGTCCAGACTGGCAGACATGTGTATCCTTGTCCAGGCTGGTGGACATGAGTATCCTTGTCTAGTCTAGTGGACATGAGTATCTTTGTCCAATCTAGTGGACATGAGTATCCTTGTCTAGTCTAGTGGACATGTGTATCCTTGTCTAGTCTGGTGGAAATGAGTATAATTGTTTAGTCTAGTAGACATGAGTATCCTTGTCCAGTCTAGTGGAAATGAGTATCCTTGTCCAATCTAGTGAACATGAGTATCCTTGTCCAATCTAGTGGACATCAGTATCCTTGTCCAATCTAGTGGACATGAGTATCCTTGTCCAGTCTAGTAGACACAAGTATCCTTGTCTAGTCTAGTGGAAATGAGTATAATTGTTTAGTCTAGTAGACATGAGTATCCTTGTCCAGTCTAGTGGAAATGAGTATCCTTGTCCAATCTAGTGAACATGAGTATCCTTGTCCAATCTAGTGGAAATGAGTATCCTTGTCCAGTCTAGTGGACATGAGTATCCTTGTCTAGTCTAGTGGACATGAGTATCCTTGTCCAGTCTAGTGGACATGAGTATCCTTGTCCAATCTAGTAAACATGAGTATCCTTGTCCAGTCTAGTGGACATGAGTATCATTGTTCAGGCTTGTAGACATGAGTTTCCTTGTCCAGGCTAGTAGACATGAGTATCCTTGTCCAATCTAGTGAACATGAGTATCCTTGTCCAATCTAGTGGACATCAGTATCCTTGTCCAATCTAGTGGACATGAGTATCCTTGTCTAGTCTAGCGGACATGAGTATCCTTGTCCAGGCTAGTAGACATGAGTATCCTTGTCCAATCTAGTGGACATGAGTATCCTTGTTCAA